ACTGGCTGGGTTTGAACCATGTCAGGCTGGAGCTGGGGCAGCCGGAGCTCTGCTGAGCACTGGGGGCAGGAGCACCCGGCAGAGAGGGATCTTCCAGGGCTGCCCAAAGCGCGAGCTCATCTCTGAGAGAGAGAGCTCTGCTCTCCTGCTCCTCCTCTGAGGCGGGTCAAAGACTGGATCAGGATGCCCAGAGAGGTTGTGGGTGTTTTGCACTGTGGCAAGGTGGTGGTGACCAATGCCCTGTGCTGCTGGTTGCAGCAATGGAAGCAGAGCAACTGGCAACACAGAGGTACGCCCATCTGTGGCAAGATATCGCTGCCCGGGTGCAGACCCTGGTGGTGAAGGTACGCCATGTAGATGCTGATGTACCCTGGAGTCGGGCCACTGAGGAACACCAGAACAATCAACAGGTGGATCACGCTGCATCGGGGCGGAGATGCAACATACAGATGGGCCGGTGATCGTGGGGTGGATTTAACAATGGACTCTATTGCCCAGGTTATTCAGGAGCGTGAAAACTGTGCTGCAATTGAGCAAGCCAAGCGGTTAAAGCCTCTTTGGTATGGGGGACGATGGCTGAAGAACAACTATGGGGAGGCCTGGCAGATCAATTATATCACACTGCCACCAACACATCAAGGCAAGCGCCGTGTGCTTACCATGGTGGAAGCACCCACCGGATGGCTGGGAACACGCGCTGTGCCCCACGCCACTGCCCGTACCACTGTCCTGGGCCTTGAGATTTTGAGGCGATACCGCAGCCCAGAGAGAACTGAGTCAGACAATGGGACTCATTTCCAGAACAACCTCATACATTTGGGCCAAAGAGCACGGCATTGAGCGGGTATTTCACATCCCCTACCGTGCACCAGCTTCTGGGAGAATCAACCAGTATAATGGGCTGTTAAAACCAACACTAAAAGCAATGAGTGGTGGGACTTTCAAACATGGGGATGCACATTTACCAAAAGCCACTGGCTTGGCCAACACGAGGGGATCTGCCAGCAGGGCTGGCCCAGCACAAGCAGAACAAAGTCTTATCTGTAGCAAACGCTGAGCTGGCCGACGAGGATGGGATTCGAACACACGTGTGCACAGTACAATGGATTAGCAGTCCATCGCCTTCACCACTCGGCCACCTCATCACTGTCCTCCTCCTGCTGCTGCTGCTGATAATGATGATGCTGCTCCTGGCTTTTTATGCTGTTTGATGTGGGAGAGTGTGGTGGAAAATGACTGCTTTAGGGTCACTCAAAAAATGACCATCAAGGATATTAGCAAGAGCAGATTAGAAATAAGGCATGATTGAACAGAATTATATGGCAAGGCTGCACTTTATGTAGCTGAAGGATAGATATGAAAATGGAGGTGAAACTGAGCTAAAGGGGATTGGTATTGTTCCTGAAGGCATAAAGATACAAGGGAGACCCTGCTGCCGAGTCATGAGGTTCAGAACAGATGCCCCCTGCTTTCTAAACTCCTGACAGAGACTGGATGTGGCTGGATCTTGTCTTAGTCTCAGACTTGGTCAACAATTTGTGTCTAATGGAATGCTTGAAGGAAAATCAAGGTAGAACCAAGCTAAAACGATTTGAATGGAGACTGAAGGTGACAAGGGTAAGGGTACTCTCCCCTTAAGTGACAACATTCAGAACAGACCCCTGTTGCTTTCTAAACTCCTGGTGGAGCCTGGGTGAGCTCCTAACTTACGGATACTTTCATGTATAGATTCTGAATGATCTGGCAAGTTCATACAACACCTTCCTTCCAAAATTTCACACCCGTGTCCATGTGCTAAGAGGAGGAAATCAGTTGCTGCCCTATTTTGCAAAGTCGCGTGCTTAATAGAATCAACATCAGTGAGTAATGCAGAGAGAGCGGATGCTGTAGCAATAGTTTGTTTAATGAGCCAACATCCTGACTTATTTAATGTTGCTAAAGCTTGAGCACTAGCTGCTCCAGGAGCTAAGAACGAAGCAGCTGCAGAAGTAAACTGGACACTGTTAACAGTCAAGGAGTTTGCTGTATCATTACCCCTCTTTTCTTAAGTCAAAGTCGCTCACCCTGCTTTGCGTGGCTACAAATGCCGGCCTGCTCCGCAGCAGCTACAGGTGCCTGCCTGCTTCAGCAGCAGCCATAAATACCTGCCGGCAACCGCACTTTTGCATTAACCCTTTCTTGCCCGAAATGTTAAACTGCTACCCGTTAAAAACTTTTACAGGAACCCAACAACAAGAAGTACACAGAACACCCTCTGCCCTCAGCACACACACACACACGTGTGGGATCCCACAAGCACACTCCACACAACTACAAGATTTGAAGCACAAAATCCAGACAATCATTACTCCCACTACACAGTCCCACGTACAGAACGTGGCACAAGGACCCTGTGGAGACTATCAGGAAACCAGCTCCAAGAAGCATCATCGCAGTGCGAGGTGGCAGGCTCAGCCTTAGCGGGTGTCCGCACAGAGGCTCTGCCTCCCCCACATCGCATGAGGCTTGGGCTTTTATACTGACCAAAATGCACACTCATTCTGACGCAGGTGGCCAGCCTATGTCTGATGAACGTGCACAGGCTCCTTCTTGAGGTCAATAAGGTATGGGTCCAAAGGATCATCTTCGTCTCTGTCCTCAGTCTTTGCAGCCGCAAAGGGGGGGGGGAGGGGGCACTGGGCTCCATGATGTCACTTTTTGACTTTAATGTCTCAAAAATAGTTCTCCAAATTTTTCACAGTGTCATTGCCTTTTGTGGCTGCGTCCCACAATTTAACTCCTGCACCATCCCACAAAGAGACCTCAAATACGGTAGACTCCTCAATCTCTGGATAATGAGTCTTCGACCATTTCAACATTAAATTTAAGTCTGTCTCTTTAAAGGTTGCTCCCTTCACCTTAAGGACTGAAAACATCCATAAAACAGAGGCTTCTTCCTTAACAATTTTTCCCAAGACCAAGCTCAAAGGCTTCATTAACCCCCTGGATCAGCACTTTCTTTACTCCAGAGCAATAGTCTTTTTTGACAGATTATCGTCATACTCTATCCCTCTCGCAGAGAGGATATGCTGGAAGGGCTTAAGGATGGCCGTTTCTTCTTTACTTAATTGATTCCCCATCCTAACCCTCTTCCAGACCCGTTGGCTGTTACCTTATTTGCATTGCGCAGTGCTTTCCAGGCTCACAAGGCTCTGTTCCAAGGCATCTACCTCCCGATCCTGATCCTGCCGGATCGAACCCAGCCGACATCCCTGGGCTCCGCGTTCTCCACTTTCTTCGGTGACAGGAGCTTTAATTCCTTCAGTCACAATATGAAAAATAGGGGGGTGCCCCAAGTTGAGAGTCAATTGCTGCAGAAAAATTATGGACTCAGTCAGAGATCAATGTGAACAGACAAAAGCCATTTATCATAGAGTATCAATCCTTTTTATACTGTTTCTCTGCCTCGGCTTACAATAGCTTGCTGTATTATAATCGGATGCATTTTCTTGTAACACACCACAACTACGGTTACCTCACCAATAGCTCACTGTAGTGAGCTTGTTGTATGATGATTGAATACATATACAATAGCTCAGTATACTGTGCTTTGATACATATTCCTGCAGCACACAGCAACTAGTAACAACAAATGTATGAGAACTTATCCTATAAAATTTGCTAACAGTCCACTATTTTCTATCTTGGCACAGTCCAGTTTCTTCTTATCTTGCTTGCACTGCTACTTTTCCTACTGCTACTTTTCCTTCTTTACCCACGTCCTCTTCATCCTAGGTTCATCTCAAGCTCCACGTAGGCACTTGCTGACTTGGAAATGTGGCCATTCTTTGCTAAAAATCCATCCACAGACGAGGAGTTCCCAACCATCGAGATCTCTGAGTGCTGCACTCTACCTTTACCAGGCAACAACAGTTCTTGCTACAGCCATGCAGCACCCAGCCATCCGGCTCGTTGCACTTGTGGAAAGGCAATCTCCCTTGCCATGGGATGTCGAGGGCAAAAGAAGAGGCTCTGTCAAGTCCAGAAACTATGGAGAAAGCCGTAGTTTTACCAGGGAGGAACGCTTCTGGATACTCTGCTGGCTGGGATTGGAGAAGAGGGAAGGAGGAAAGAAAGATGACTCTTGAAGTTGTGATGACCGACGTCTTTATTGAGACAATCAACGGAAAAAGGGAACAGAGGAGAACTTCAGCAATGCATTTTGGAGGCCGAGGAAAGGTCGGGTAAGAGGTGGGAACTGAGGGGAAAGCCGAGCAAGAGAAGGAAGGCAGAGGTTTCCTGGGCAGAGAGAGAAGGGCAGCGCAGGCCGGTTCCTGCAGGCGGAGCGTCCGGAGCTCGGCTCCTCTGCAGAGCACAGGCACGCGCTCGGGGCTGTCTCCAGGGCTTTCGTGGAGGCTGCTGGCGCTGGAGCACGGGCAGGCAATGCACGGGCTTCAGCATAAGAGATTGGCACGTCCCAGAGCCCCGCCGAGCCCCCGGCCCAGCCCTGCCCAGCCATAGCCCCCCAGCCCCAGGGAGCCCCCAGAAGCGATGGGCACGCTGGCAGCGCTGAGAGAGCTGCCCACGGCAGCCGAGGCGCTGGATCCCACGGCTGTGCTCTGCGGGAAGGAGCTGAGGATCGGGCCCGGCAGCGTCACCAGCACTGGCGAGGGCTGGATGGCAACGCTGGAGTCGGCGCAGCGCAGGACGCACGGCTCGTTGCAGCTGTTGGCAAGCGGGGTTGGGCCGCAGGCAGCGGGCAGGCACGGGCTGTAGCACGCCATGGCTGCTGGAGGGAGGAGAGCCTGCGGGACCCAGACAGGGAGCAGAGGCCATGAGCTGCCGGGCCCTGGCAGGCGCCAGCTCCGCGCCTCTGGCAACGGGCACTGCCTGGCCAGGGCCAGGGAAAAGCCCTCCCTCTTCCCGCACCATCCCAGCTCCCAGCACCCGGGAGCACAGGGCATTTTCCAGCCTCCAGCCCTGCTCAGAAGGACCCCGCACAGGAGCCGAGCAGTCCCCCTCTACCCACAGGAAGAGAAGAAGGGAGTTCAGACGTACCGAGTTCACCGCGGAGAGCAAGGGAAGAGCTGGGGATGGAAGGGCCTGGAGTAGCACGGCCTTTTATACGGTGAGCCAGCGCCTCGGGACACGCGGAACACGCGTGTCTGTGTGAAGCACGTTAACAAACAGCAATTTGGGGTTTGCAAAGCACAGCCATGAGATGGAGAATGGTCTCTTTCATCTGAAAGGTCTGATTTGCATTTCCCCATTGGGTGAGAGCGCAGCGGTGATGCATCCGATGCTGCTCCCCAAAGCAACGGCCGTGGAGCTCCCCGCCAGCTCCCAGAAAGGGTTTCAGCAGCTCCAGGCCCTGTGTGAGGGTCGTGCACAGCCTTGCTGGGCAGCGGGAGGGCCCTTCTCAGCCTGGCCTTGAGCTGCAGAGCGCTGCTGATGAAGGGCACTCACCTGGGTCACCTGTGGAAGGGCTGAGGCTGAGGAGCACAGGTCCCGCAGGGCCACGGAAGGGCTCAGTAAGCAGCCAAGCCCCGGCCGGATGCCTTTCTGGAGGAGGGACACAGAAAGAAGGGAACTCAGATCCCCAGGGGTGGCTGGAAGGTGAAGGCCAAAGAAGGACCCTTTGTGGGATGGAGAGAAGCACCGTTGTGTGAAAGAGGGGGGCACTGGAGGCATTCCTAGAGGTGGCCTCAAAGCAGGGACAAAAAGGTTGAAGGGGGAAAGGTCTTGCTGCAGGGCAATGTGTCATTTCTCAGTCCCAAAATTCTCATTCCCAAAGTGAGTCGTCAGCCCCAAGGGTGCCAGCTCAAAGGGGCAGAGGAGCAAACCCCTGGGCATTTGGCTGAGGGTGCTTTCCACCTTGGGTGTCCTAGCCCGGCCTGGGAAGGACGTGTCCTCTGGTGCCTGCAGTTCAAAGCAGAAGGCTTCCCGGGGAGCAAGTGCGGGCCTGTGGTGTCCACTTCCTGCCCTCGGGCGTTCCCGCACGGCTGCTGAGGCAGTGGATGCGTGTGCCCTCTCCAGCTGCCTCAGCTCTGCTCAGGCACAGCCGAGGCCGGGCTCCTCGTGGCACAGGAATGGCTCCCAGCCTTCTGCATCCAGCAGCGGGGCAGGGGCAGGCCAAGGAGGAGAGCAGCTCAGGCACGGTGCTCGCTGCCTGCCTCCCCTTCGTCTGCGCTGCGGAACCGTCTCGGAGTGGGAGCGTCAGGGCACGTCTGTGCTGTCCTCCTGTGGCTGCTGTTTCACCCAGGAGCACGACAGGGTTGCAAGGAGTCCCCAAGTGCTTGGGCAAGACGCTGACAGTCCTGACAACACTGTGCCAAAAGCTGCATGCCTGCAGGAACGAACACGCATGTGAAGCTGCACCTCTGCACATCTGAAGCCGTTTGCCCCAGAGCCCCTGGGGCCAGGGCATGGGTGATTCACCCCGAGGTGGAGCTGAGGTCTCTCCGAGTGGCTCAGCACTTTCTGGTGGCTGCTGCTGCCCCCTTGCAATTAAAGGGCCCTGAAGGTGCCCATCTGTCCCTGAGCTGGGCAAAACAAGCCGGACCCTCTGGGTCAAGTGACCTGAACAAGCCACCCTCCACTGATGCAAGAGGAGCGTTGTTTTCTCTGGAAAGAGCGTGCCGAAGCCAACAGGTCCACTTGGGGATGGCTCACACTCAGGCATGAGTCAACAGCTCCTTCATCGCTCTCCAGGACGTGCTGAGCCGCTGCTTCTCCTCGGGAGAGGGTTTCCCTCCCGAGCTCAGGGGGGCTTTGTTTGACCATCACCTCCCAACCACCCCGGCATTCCCAGGCCCCTCAGCAGAGCAGCCGTCCTGCAGGGGCTTGGCTGGGCTCTGAGCATCTCCATAGCCTGCAGGCACTGGTCTTGCTCAGGGCCAGCCAGAGCCCACCATAGGGAGACCCTTCTGAGTGCCCTTCAGGCTTGCTCCACAGGCAGAGTGCTAAGTAAGCAGTGGCCATGTTGCCCAGGAAGGGCAGGACATGCACAACACCCAGTCATGGCCTCAATCTGCCCCCAGGCTTCACCAGCACCTGGAATGGGACCTCAAAGGAGCGCTGGTCTGTGGGAGAACCACAATTGCTATCAACACAGTGACAGGAGTGGTTTGTCCAGGATGAAAAGGGACCAAGCATTTCAGGCAGAGGAGGCATGTCTTTCATCTTCCAGCCGAGCTCTGAGAAGCCAAAATTGCCGTTTCTCAACATGCTTCGTGTTTGGGTCATTTTTCAGCTCCCCTGGGGCTCTGGGCCGCAGTATAAAAGTGGCCCAACTGCCAGCTCCTCCATCCTCTCCTCGCGCCTTCCTCTGCTCCGGGAAGTTGGTAAGTCTCAGTTCACTTTGCCTCTTGTCTCCCTGGTCGGCAGAACAGGTTTTTGGGGTGAGGGCCTCCCTGGTTCTTGGTGAATGGGCTGGGATGTGGATCAGGACACGGGTTGGTCTCTTTGCCAGCCGTGGCTCCTTCCGAGGCTCAGGTCCTACGGTCAGCGCCGTCTATCCGATGACTGGGCACTTCCTCCAGCATCCGCAGTTCAGCGATGCTGCTTTTGCACTAATGGCAGGATGAGGAGCTCCCTCAGGAGAGCTAGTCCCAGCATTCACGCCTTCCTCCGTAGTGGCTGCTGTCTTCAGGAGCCTGTTGCGTTGTGCTCAGCCACGTCCCCTCCTGAGAGCAGGGTGAGAGGAGCCCCACCTGGCAAGACCAGGGCGCTCCAGGGCAGGGCGTTTGGCTGCGTGAACAGATGGGTGCTGGTACCAGGGCTGATGGCCAGGAAGTGCAGAGCCGATTCCAAGGAGAGGGAACCTCCTGATCCGCAAGAGAAAATCTTTCCCTGCCTAAGGCCACAGCGTCAAGGCTGTGCTCAACCCACCTGAAAACCCCAGCATCCGTATTCCCATTCTGGGAAGGGGCTTAATGAGGACTCTCTCTGGGGCCCTCCCCACCGGAGCAGCTGGAGGGGGACTGCTCGGCTCCTGTGCGGGGTCCTTCTGAGCAGGGCTGGAGGCTGGAAAATGCCCTGTGCTCCCGGGTGCTGGGAGCTGGGATGGTGCGGGAAGAGGGAGGGCTTTTCCCTGGCCCTGGCCCTGGCCAGGCAGTGCCCGTTGCCAGAGGCGCGGAGCTGGCGCCTGCCAGGGCCCGGCAGCTCATGGCCTCTGCTCCCTGTCTGGGTCCCGCAGGCTCTCCTCCCTCCAGCAGCCATGGCGTGCTACAGCCCGTGCCTGCCCGCTGCCTGCGGCCCAACCCCGCTTGCCAACAGCTGCAACGAGCCGTGCGTCCTGCGCTGCGCCGACTCCAGCGTTGCCATCCAGCCCTCGCCAGTGCTGGTGACGCTGCCGGGCCCGATCCTCAGCTCCTTCCCGCAGAGCACAGCCGTGGGATCCAGCGCCTCGGCTGCCGTGGGCAGCTCTCTCAGCGCTGCCAGCGTGCCCATCGCTTCTGGGGGCTCCCTGGGGCTGGGGGGCTATGGCTGGGCAGGGCTGGGCCGGGGGCTCGGCGGGGCTCTGGGACGTGCCAATCTCTTATGCTGAAGCCCGTGCATTGCCTGCCCGTGCTCCAGCGCCAGCAGCCTCCACGAAAGCCCTGGAGACAGCCCCGAGCGCGTGCCTGTGCTCTGCAGAGGAGCCGAGCTCCGGACGCTCCGCCTGCAGGAACCGGCCTGCGCTGCCCTTCTCTCTCTGCCCAGGAAACCTCTGCCTTCCTTCTCTTGCTCGGCTTTCCCCTCAGTTCCCACCACTTACTCGACCTTTCCTCGGCCTCCAAAATGCATTGCTGAAGTTCTCCTCTGTTCCATTTCCCTTTCATTATCCCAATAAAGACGTCGGGCATCACAACTTCAAGAGTCATCTTTCTTTCCTCCTTCCCTCTTCAACAGTCCCAACCAGCAGAGTATCCAGAAGCGTTCCTCCCTGGTAAAACTACGGCTTTCTCCATAGTTTCTGGACTTGACAGAGCCTCCTCTTTTGCCCTCGACATCCCATGGCAAGGGAGATTGCCTTTCCACAAGTGCAACGAGCCGGATGGCTGGGTGCTGCATGGCTGTAGCAAGAACTCTTGTTGCCTGGCAAAGGTAGAGTGCAGCACTCAGAGATCTGGATGGTTGGGAACTCCCCGACTGTACCCGGAGCACTTCTGGGCTGAGCAGGCATTTCCTTAGTCTGAGACTCAGGAGCCAGGCACACCCAGGCTCCATCAGGAGTTTAGAAAGCAACAGGGGTCTGTTCTGAATGTTGTCACTTAAAGGGAGGGTCCCCTTACCCTTGTCACCTTCAGTCTCCATACAAATCATTTTAGCTTGGCTCTACCTTGATTTTCCTTCAAGCATTCCATTAGACACAAATTGTTGACCAAGTCTGAGACTAAGACAAGATCCAGCCACATCCAGGCTCTGTCAGGAGTTTAGAAAGCAGGGGGCATCCGTTCTGAACCCCATGGCTCAGCAGCAGGGTCTCCCTTGTATCTTTATGCCTTCAGGCACTATCCCAATCCCCTTTAGCTCTTCCCTCTCTACACTTCTCCTATGTAATAAGTAGTAGAGTGAGCCTTGCCATCAAATTCTGTTCAATCATGCCTTTTTTATAAACTGCTCTTGCTAACAGCTTTGATGGTCATTTTTTGAGTGACCCTAAAGCAGTCATTTTCCACCACACTCTCCCACATCAGCAGAATGAAATGCCAGGAGCATCAGCGTCAGCATCATCAGTTGCAGCAACCTGCTCTAGTTGAAGGTCTCCCTGGCCGTGGCAGGGGCTTGGAACTCGATGATCTTAAGGTCCTTTCCAACCCAAACCATTCTATGATTCTACCACACTTCACTCTGAATGTACTCAATTGTCAAAAAGCAGCAGAGAAGCAATGACAACTACACGTACAAGCAGTGGCAGCTACAACGTGCTTCAAACAGCCAAGAATTACACTTCTGTTCAGCTTTCCCACATTTTCTTTCTCCTAGAAGAACTCACACTTTGGGTGCTTTAATGCTTGGACATTGTTAGGCAAAGGAAGGGGGAAGAAGAAAGCCCACCTAAATCGCCTAAAGCGCATTCGAGGTTTAAGAGATGCTGATCTTGGCTAAAGCTCAGGCTTTGACAAGCAGATCTCAGCCGTGCCAGGAAACCCTCACTCCAGTCTGGAAGCTGGGCAGAATCCCCCTGACACAAGGGCTCCCAAGTGTTACAGACGGGCATTAACAACCAAAGCACACGGGAAAATGCAAATGCCCCCAGGAATCATCTCCAGAGCAGGGCCTGGGGAAGAGCAGGACACTTTGGGGACAGGCATATCTTAAATGCAACCCCTCTGGCTCTCTTCCCACAGAGATCAACAAGGTCCCACTGGGAACGCTTTGTACCAGGGAACAGCCACACGGAGTTTGGAGGGGGGCAGCAGCACGGCTGCTCCTGCTGCTGATGCTCGGCCCCACCCCTGCCCGCGCCGGCTTCCCCTCCCTGTGCAGAGAGGAATGAGCCTGCAGCGCCGACAGACAGAGCAGGGGCACCGCTCGGCAGCTCAAACCGCCGCCACTGGCCGCCGCGCCCGGCAAGACACGGCCCGGCGGGGGGCACTCGGGTACCACCGCCACCAGCGGCAAGATGAACCAAGTGGCCAATGCCCTGCCCCGGCGCAGGGCAGCACGGCATTAACACACATCCCTGTCCAGAAACACGGCTGAAACAATGAACCAACAGCTCTGTGAATTAAAGCTGCTCCTGCCCAACACCACCATCACACCTCTGCTACTTGACGTGAGATCCTGAAGGCAGTGCACGAAATAGACACATTTTGTCTGAAAACAGTTTATTAAATCTGTACATACCTCCTCAGTACTCTTCCCAGCAACATAATTTTAACCTGCTCCTCCATCACCTCTCCACAGGTCTATCAACTGAACAGAAGGCAAGGCCCCTTTGCCTGCTTTGGTATCCATTCAATCTGAAAGACTCTGCAGCCAAAAGGCAAGTTTAATCATTTTATTTAACATCTCTTTCTGTCCACCTACTGCAGGTGAAGGCAAACATTGGGTCTGATCATTGTTAGTGCCAGGAAAAAATCATCCCAAAAACTGATCCGAAACGAGAGACTAGCAGATACCAAAGCTGTCAGAGCACCAGCTCCTCACAACTCCAGGATTTAGGTCTAAACTGAAAGCTTTTTACCAGTTGAAGCTCAGAGATGCTCTTCTCTGCATGAAGAGAGCTTTTATTGTTACTGGACAGTTAGTGGTGTTGAGGAATAGCAGGGAGTTTGCACAGTGGCAGTTGCACTGACATCCCAGGGCATCAGGAGGTTCTGTTACAAGTTCAGTCTTTGTCCCATTAAATCCAGACAGCACTGCCCAAAGCCCAAGTCAATATAAAACTAAAATTAAGCAAATCATAAAAAGCTCCTTGGAAATGCACAGGCAGGAAAAACTGGACACTTGGGATTGTCGATTTCTTCAAGAATGTCTTTAAAAACCAGAAGGACCTCCCTGAGGAACCAAGGACCTTGGTCAACTGAGTTCTGCTCTCAGATACTGGCTTCATCATTCCAGGTCAAATCTGCAGTTTCTAGCACTACACGTAGTTTTTCACATCAAGTCTCCATTGCATAACATTTGTAAAGTGCTTTGAGAGAGCGCCATGAAAACTCTAAGGTAGAGGAAGGGCGAAATATCTCTTAGCAGCACCTATCTGCTTACTACGACAACATTCCTTTTTTTCCCCCTCCGAGCAGCATCACTATATCCTCCTTTGCCTTCACACTAAGAGTCTGGGGCCAGCAATGGAGAAGGCACACAGCAAAAGTTGTTGCTGCAGGGCAGTGAAAGGTTGCACTGGAAAACATGAGGATGTTTTCTGGAAGGATGAAGGAAGCAGAGCTCCAGGGGAGGATGAGCATTTCCCTCCCAGCTACATCAGGAAAGGAGTGCCCATGCAGACTGATGTGCACAAAGCTATGCAGGAGGCTTTAGGGAGCATAAATATTTGCCAAACAAGGAGAGAGCTGGTGCTAATCTTAAAAATAAAACCAAAATCAAGACATTGATGTTTTTTGGGGGGAGGACAGAACTGCTCTTTAGAAGCCATGGCCTGAGGGATCTTGACTACCTAGTTGTAAAATCCTGCCACCTTTCCAGTTGACAGCAACTTGTCTCCAGTTAGCAGCTTCACAAAAGCAACCCTTGTGTGAATAGATAAAGCTTTCCCAGATTTCTAAAAGGTTAATCTTACCATTAGAATTGCACTTTAAAAACAGGCATCGATCCCTATGCACTCTCCCCAAACACCTCCTCGACTTAGAAAAGTGGAAAGAAAGGCTACAGTTCTTCACTGTCCTACAGCTACCAGGGTTTGAGAGCTTTGATTTAGGTGCCTGAAGGAAGGACACAGTGTTCAGCTGAGGAAAAAAAACAGCAGGTTTCACAGCTTGGCTTGCATTGGCTTCAGGTGTTTGTGGAAAGACTCGTGAACCTGTAAGAGGAGACAGTGGTTACAAGCAGATCAGGCCTCAACTTTAAACCATTTGAGCTCCTCTCATCTTGCAGTGGGGTTTTATACCAAGGACATCCGAATCAGAGGCACAATGGAGATGCAAGATCAGCCAGCTAACTCCTGTATTTGAGTGTCTGTGTGACACAAAGCACAAGAATATAAAGACCCTCCCCAAGAAAAGAGCCTCCCCAGTACCTTTCTTGTAAGAAAAGAATGCAAGGTATCTCGCATCCATACAGACCATGTGGCTTTTTAATTAAAATACAAATGGGAGAGGTCTCCTAGTGTGCTAATGAAGCTCCTAAGCCCCACTGACTTCAGGAACTCAATAAAATGGAGCAAGTCCTGCTGGGATTCAACTACAGCTGGAGTCTCTGGCAGCCCACCATAGAAGATGCAGTCTGTCCAAATCAGATAAAGGCAGCAAAGGCCATTGAGACAAGATTTAGAA